CAACAAGGGTACAGTGTGTCAAAGGAGGGTCACAAAGAGGAAAACGTTTCCCATGCTTTCACAGAAAGTAGCATGGTCAAGCAAGGCCATGACCCATCCTGACAGCTGAAATTGACAGAGGAGCTGAGAAGCTCCATATATGGTTCTAAAAAAATGCCTGAGGAGACTCAAATGGTCTTGATAGATAGCAAGAGGTTAATTTGGTTAACATAGGTATCACTTTAACTCGGTCTTCAGCAGAAAAATATAACCATAAAATATATAAAACAATGCCATAATAATAGGCTAGATATAAAAGGGGGTCCAATCACTGATCCTTCTGACAGTTTCCAGCTACACTGGTAGTTAACCAGTTATGGGAAAAACAAAAACATAAAAAACCAATAAAAACTAAAAAAAATCTTTAAATTCTTTAGCTAAAATTGACTAAAACTAGAGAGACTTATGACAAAATATCAGATTTCATCAATAAGGGCAGCTAAGAGTTGGGATTAAAATCGCTATTCCAGTTCCTTAGGAACAGTTTCTAGACTTAGCACTTTTCCCAATCTGCCTTTCCATTCTAATGCTCATGCTTTTACTATACATGCTCTAATTTCTTAAAACATTTGTTTTCAAACACAATTACAAAAACAAAAACGGGGAATATGGTTACTTCCGCAATTAGATCATATATCTTTAAAAAGTTTTAAACCTGGTTGTAGAAAGTTAATATCCTCCATCAGAACTTCATTAGCAAAAGGATAAATCCAATAAGCATGCCACAGCTCAAGTCCTATAGAAAGACATCCAAACAGGAAAGTGGAATGGCACAGTACTGTTGATAACACAGTGTCAAGGGCATGCTTGTGTATTAATAGAGAGTGGACTGCTGTTATGGCTGCTCTCCCGGAACATGTGACCACGGAGAGAGGAACATCCCATCCCTGTGGTGGAGCCTGTTCCCATCTGGCCCTCTACTGCAAGCATCCTCCAGAATGATCCTGGAGGGGAATCCAACACCTCAACTACTGATCCACACAGGCTACAAAATCCATTACATGAGGACAACTAAATATGACAACACAGAAGGCTCACACATTTGTGATGTGACAGGGCCTCCCTCAATCTCCTGAGGATATGTTTGTTGCTATGATGGCCATCACTCCTGTATGATCTTTTAAGTAGTATAACTCCTAAAACAAAAGGAGGAAATGTTTGGGACCACAAATTATAAATTGAGGCTAGACCCAGAGACCTTAATCGTCCCCTGATGCTGTGATGCTCTAGAAGACTACATCAACATAAGATCCTCATCAATTTAAGATCACTGCTGCCTTCTGAGTCATTGGAACTGACCCTCAACATAAGATCCTTTTCAGCATAAAATCACTGCCACCCTCTGAGTCATCTGATAATCCCTCAGATTGTGGCATACACCCAATAAATAGTTGCTAGCCTGGAATGTCATTGTCTCTGCCCATCCTGAGACATTGACCTCTCTACCTCCTTTTTTAAAAATTTTTTTTGTCTTTTTCCTTTTTATTGGTACCGGGGATCGAACTCACGACTGCCTGCTTGCAAGGCAGGTGCTTATGCCACTGAGCTAAATCCCCAGCCCCTCTACCTCCTTTTTATGAGTTATTAAATTTGTTTTTTTCTTTGTCCTTCACTGTACCCCCCCCATACAAGGCAGTTAGAGAACTTGGCCAGGTCCCCAGTAGAAGAAAATTTTATTAAATGTAGATTCAGTTTAAATGGGATTACATTGTGAATAGCACAAAAATGAGGCAATAATTTCTGAATTTTAAGATGATTATCCAGCTCAGCTAAAAGTCACTGATACCACTGATGAGTGACTAAAGCATCAACATATAAATTTTTGTCAGAAAACTTACTACTTAACCTAAGTGAAAATATCAACCAATGTCCATGTGAGGACATGAATTCATGAACAGCAACTATAAACTAAAGATACAAGTGGTTGGCAAAAATCAATGAGCATTCTGTGAGAATTTAATATTTATTTTAAAGTTGTTTACTGATAATGTGTTTTAAGTTTTCTGTTTTGAAGTGTCCATGATAAAGTGCTGTAATCTTTTAAAATCCAATTTTATAAATGCCTTTACTAAAGCAATCTGAAGATGAATTTTAGGTAATTACTAGATATGGAGCTGGCAGAATGTTCTCCCCCCACCCTCCGAAGATAAGAAAATGACCACATTTAGATTTTATAAGCTTAGTGTACTCTTAGGAAAGCTATTGCCATATAAGGAAAGAAATATAGGAGTTGGAAGGAAATGACATTATAGCTTTCTAATTAAAATAAGCCAAGAAAGGAAATTCATTCAGCAATGTAATATAGAAATTATTTGTTTATATTTGTAAGGAAGTAAAATGTAAGCACTAGGCTTTTAAAGCTTTTTTTTGGTACCAGGGATTGAACTCATGACCTCACACTTACCAGGCAAGCACTTGAGCTGCTGAGCTAAATCTCAGGCCCCACTGTTAAAGTTTTTGCTCTAAACTAGTGATGGCAAACCTATGGCATGTGTGCCAGCGGGCGTGCAGAGATCTCTGTTGGAACTTGAGCCAAGTTGTGACAGCAGCTGAGCATTGGATAACAGTTTTTTTTTTTTAAATACTGAGGTTCAGTATTTATAAATATTTGTAATTCAATATTCAGGTTTATTTGCAGTATGGGCACTTTGTATTAAATAAGTGAGTTTGGGGTTGCAACATGGGTACTTGGTCTCTAAAATGTTCACCATCACTGGTCAAAACTAAACAGAAAAACCTGGCATTAAAAACCAAATTACAGATCAGTATTAGTGATGGTTTGGGAAAAGGCTTTCTAGAGTTTTGTGTAAAGATTTCAGTTAGTGGTTAAAATAGATATGGGTTAGTGAAATGAAACCAAATGTATGCCAGATGTGGTAGCACAAGCCTATAATCCCAGCACTCAGTAGTCTGAGGCAAGATGATCGTTGCAAGTTTGAGACCAGCATGGGCTACAAAGTGAGCTCAAGACCAGCCTGAACTGCATAATGAGAACCCATCTCAAAAAGACGAGAAAAAAGAAAAAAAGAAAAAAGAACCCAAGAAACCAAATGTTTGAGTGTGTGTGTGTGTGTGTGTGTGTGGAGGGGGGGGTAATCTGTTTTCCTGTAGTAACTACTTATTTTTCAAAGTAATTTTTTTTCTTTTTGGAAGGTGTTTGTGGGGAGCACTGATGATATAGGGTTCCCATCTACTCTTTTTTTTTTTCTGCAGGAACAGACATGATATTCACAAACTGTTGGCTGACTGATAGGTCTTTATTCCTCCAAGACTGAGCATGGAAGCCAGGGTTAGAGATAAGGCTTCATTAACATCTGCCTGATAGGGTTTTGGGGGAGTACCAGTTCACTGAGCTTTAGTTCCCTCATTTATCACATAAAGCTGAGAATGACTTTCAATATATAAAGACAGATATTTGTCCTTGCCTGATCATTATCTGTGGAGACAGACCAGTGACATATCTCAGAAGGGAGAGGGACTTTTTCCTTAAGTTCATGGTAGAAGTATTGCTTCACTGGGAAATGTTGTAGCTTGGCATAACTGACGCCTTCTTGAGCTCTGCATTTAACTAACATCCTGTATTTGACCCAGGAAAATGGAGAATTACTCAGGGTACAAGTCCCATGAGAAAAGCACCCACAGGAAAAATATTAACCTGCTCAACAAAGAAAGAGGATACAGGTGTCAACCAAAAATTAATATAAAATTCTAGCTAAATTGTTTCAAACAGGATTTTTTTGTGGTTTTCTTTTTTAAAAGATCTGTAACTTTCCAGTTCAGGGCCACTCGGTGGGACTCTGGAACACAGGTCTCTCCGCGAGTGGTCACTGAGCTCAGCTAATTAAACCCCAAATTTATCAGGCTGCTTGGATTCCAATATTGTCCATGAACCCACTTCAGGAAACACTTTCAGTGAAAGTAGAGGCAGGGGACAGACGAGGTGACTAAATGTCAGAAAGGAGATCAAAAGCCAAGCAGTGTGGTGCTCGCCTGCAATCCCAGAACTCTGGGAGGCTCAGAGAGGATTGTAATTTTGAACCTAACCAGGGCAATTTAGCAAGACCCTGTCTGAAAACATGAAAAAGGGGTTAGAAATGCATCTCAATGGGAAGAATTCATCCCCTGTACTGCCAAGAAAGGAAGGAGAGAAGGAAGAAGGAAAGACAGCTAAATAGCATTACATGGGTCTGTCTGACTCACTTGCTTTATGATTCACTTGCTTTTAAAAGGTTGTAGCAGCAGGCAATGTTGGGGCTCATGTACAGTTCAGATTTGTTCGTTTGTTTTAAACAGTCTGCTGTGTATTCCAGACCGGCCTTGAACTATGTAGCTCACACTGGACTCTTAACTCGCAGCAATTCTCCTGCCTCAGCCTCCCTAGTGCTTGGATGACAGGAGTGCGCCACCACATCCGGCTGGAATTAAGATTTCGTGCAAAGCTTTCAAAGTTTTTGAGCTAGGCCGACAAATTCTTACGCAAAAGGTGGCCTCTAGAAAGCAATGGGCTGAGTTTGTTATCAGACGGAGGGACTCTCTTCGAAAGAGACCCAAAACAAGGTCCTGTAAAGCTCGCGGGAACAGTGAGTCAGGCGCGGAGGTGGTGTCCAGGCCCAGACTCGCATGGGTCTGATAAGGGACTGATAAGTCACTGTAGAAGTCATTCCGAAGGGTGCAACCTGTTTGGGGGCGGGGCTGGGGCCCGGCGTGGTTTCCATTCTCGGGGCTATAGCCCTGCCTAACCACAAAATCTACACCAAGAGCCTTTTTTCCGGGACTCCCTATTGGTCCACTCTGCAGCTTCTTTCTCTACTCTGCGTTCTTGCTACGCTTGTCGCTCATCTGCGTATAGCCAATCAGCACCTCTAGCTTGGCCTACTGCACCAAAGAAGGGGCAGTTCCTCCCCTCGCACCAATAAATGCGCAGACTTACGCTGTGAGGGCGGGCCTGTAGCTGTAAATGAGCCAATCACTTGTCTCCAGTGACTGGTGGCGCAGAAGGCACTCACTCACGCTCTCGCGTCCTCAAGATGGCGGCGGCCAAGGACGGTTGTGGTTTGGCAGAAGCGGCTACGGGGAATGGGCGGCGGCTTCACTTGGGTATTCCTGAGGCCGTGTTTGTGGTAAGAGTCCCTCTGTTCCTGACGTCTTGGCTTGAGGTTGAGGACTGTTTCCTTTTGGCCCTCGCCCTCAGCTGTATTGGGGGGAAGGACCTGAGCTGAAGGTCCACGTAGCAAGCCCTCGGCCGCTCTCCTTCCCCCTCAGGACCGTCTGAGGTAGTCCTGAGGGAACGCGACTCGAGAAGACCTTAGGAGAGCGGAGGCAGCAGGTGCGGAGAGGGCACCCGCGGAGGGCGAGGCAGGCGGAACCGCATCTGCAGTATGGGTCTGAGTGAGCCGGGCAGTCCCCTAGAGGACAGGCTGTAGGGAAGAGATGACCTCGGAATGTCCCTGCGGGAGTGGCAGAGGACAGTGGTGCGAAGAAAAATGGGCTGTGCCGAAGCCGTGCGGGTGGGACTCGGGTGTCCGGACGCGTCCGGTAGGCAGAGGGCTGTTGCTAGCAGGTGTCTTAGAAAAACCACCCCGTGGCCCTACTTGCCCTTAGGTGCGTTTTTCAGGTAACGTGATAGAGAAGGCATTACACGCAGTTGAGAGCAGAGGCGGAGAATGCAATTTGAGGTTGTCGCAGAATCGGGAGACCAAGCCATCAAATAAAGAGAAGGTGGTAGAAGCTACGACCTTAGCCACTCATCGAGCTATCCACAGATAGTGTTGGGAAGCTGTTAAAATAATGGCAGAAACCTCTGAATGGCTTTCCTCTTTAGTTGTACTGAGCCACTGTAAAATCTCAAGGGAATTTTCTCTACTGTTTTGTTAATCATGTCTAGCATTCTTCAACACATTCCTTTTATTTAGACCACACTTTCTATCGTATATTTGCATTTTTATTGAATTTTGTAATTACTTTCATTATTGTTTTCTGTTTGAGCTGTGCCATTTATTTCTTTATATTTATCTCAGCTGATTGTAACAACATTTGCTGAATGTCAGATATTTTCTTAATGATTTTACAAAACCCTAGGGGTAGTTACTGTTACCATTATTATCATTTTGTACATAATGAGACTGAGAAATAGAGCCCTTGAGGTACCCGCCCCAGGTAGGACAGGATGTAGAGGTGAATTTGAGTTTGGGCCATCTGTGGGTGCCAGATCTTCTACCTACTCTCCTGGGCTGCTGCTGGGAGTATAGTAAGGTAATTCTCTTTCTTCATACTGGATTCCCTGGAGTTTCTTCTGGTCTTAGCATGGAGCCTGACACATAGTATAAACTCCTAAGTTAGTACAACATCCATAGTGCTCAGTTAGAGACAACTTAAGAAATTAATTCAGGAAAATACACTTTATCTGAAAATCTTATAAAGTCTTATAATGCTTTGACCCCTAAAGTTGTAATGGCTTATTTTTTCTAGGCCTTAAAACGTCCACCATCATAGGTAGAACGAACACTAGATTCTACATAGATGAGAATTTGAAACTCACCTTTGTTTCCCAGTTGTGGCTTAGCCTTGAACATAATACTTTGCCACTTTGAGCCTGTTTCTTTAACTTGCAAGTATAGTAGGTGCTTAATAGATATTACTTTCTACGCTAATAGCAGGTAGTATACCACGGTTATTAAAGTTTCATGTGGCCTTTTCCCCAGCTCTCCTAGTACAGTAATTTTTTTCTTTCAGTGCTTGAATTGTCCTTTTTATCCTTATCTATCTGGTAAACTCTTCATTTTTCATTATCTGGTTTAGATATTACCTCCTTGAAGTTTTTCCTGACCTGTATTTTAGAACAAAGTTCTTGGTATTTTGTTTTATATTCCCATAGCACATTAAAATTTTTTAAATGGTAAACTACTTTTGCTTATTTATTTCAAGAGATTGTTCTGTTTACCTTTTAGATTTACACTACTTTATCACAACTGCTCTATACTTGAAGCATTTGTGGCTCACCTTGGGAACCTGGTGACCCTACTTGGCATGATTTCTGTTGCAGAATTTGTTGAATTAAAAATAAGTAATCAAGTCACTAATTTCAATGTACACTATGTTTAATCATTTTATGACACACAAATAGGCAATGTCTTTGATGACAGGTAATTTTCATATGTACAGTGCTACTAGGACCACATGGGAAATACATAAAGCAAATGAGGTCATTCTTCTCTCCATACTTAATGAATAAAAATTAAAAGGTGAAGGAAAATAAATTAGGTATATAATGTATATAAATTGTCTGAAATGGTCTCTACTTTTTTTCCTGTGCTACTGGGGATTAAATCCAGGGAAACTGTGCTATATCACCAGCCCTCTTTTATTTTTTATTTTGAGATGCCTGGCTAAGTTGCCCAGGCTCACCTCCTGACTCTTGATCTTCCCACCTCAGGTTCTTAAAACACTGTGATTACTGGGGTGAGCTCCAAACAAACAGCTTCTCTAAGTTTTTATAAATATTTTTATAGTTAAAAACAAGCCTTTGGAGAAAAAGAAAGCCTTTTATGTTTTCAAAAGAAAATAGTAAACAATCAGATTAGTGGTATAAACTCTAAAATTTGTAATATATTCTTGTTTTTAAAGGAAGATGTAGACTCCTTCATGAAACAGCCTGGGAATGAGACTGCAGATACAGTACTAAAGAAGCTGGATGAGCAGTACCAGAAGTATAAGTTTATGGAACTCAATCTTGCTCAAAAGAAACGGAGGTAAGTAAAAAAAAAATCTTTTTAAAAAAATCTTACAAGGCTTGAACTTTTTTTGTTGTTTTTGAGGCAAGGTCTCACTAATGTGGTCCAGGTTGGTCTTGAAGTCTTGATCCTATGCTTCCAACCTTCTGAGTGCAGGGATTACAAGCTTCACCTCAAGCCTTACATACAATAAAATATCCATATATCAGATGTTTAGTTTGATGAATTTTGACAAATGTATCCAATTCTCTCCAGAATTGATTCTTGCCCAGATCGGAATATTCCATAACCCCAGGAAATTCATGACTCTAGTCACACTCCCCACCTCCATAACCATTTTTTCCACCATGTTTGTTGTAAAGTGAAATAAATGGAAGTACTGGTAGCTGTTTTGTTTCAATTTTCTTAGTATAATACTTTGAAAATCCTCTTCAATATTGTGTATATTAGTAAATTAGTTTTAAGAGCTGAATTGTGTCTCATTGTGTATAGATTTGCTACAGTTTTAGTATATTTTAATGTTTGTCTGCTGGTGGACATTTGGATTTTTTCCTCCTTTTGGTTTTGTCTTGATATGAGTATATATTTTCATTTCAATATCCAGAGGTTGAATTGCTGAACCATGTGTTTGGTTTTATGAGAAACTAGCAAGGCCCTCCAGAGTGACTATACCATTTTATGTTCCCACCAGAAGTATACAGGAGTCTCAACTATTTCACATCCTTACTAGCACTTGGTGTTGCTACTATAAAGGTAGTTTTGCAAACATAACAGAATGAATATTGAAAACTTCATACCAAATTGTCTAGGATCATAGCATTGATCTTTTTAATTTTGCTAATGAAAGATCCATAAGAGATTGACTTTCCTAAGATTTAGTGATTAATAGGCATAGGTGAAAAAAAATCTTTGCTCTCAGTTCTTACTATATTTTTTGTGCTGGGACTCAACTCAGGACCTTGCACTTACTTGCCAGGCAGGTGCTGTGCTGCTGAGCTAAATCCCCAGCCCTTACTATATTTTTATATAGCTTTTAAAGTGAATTTGCTATAATCTTTGTGGATATTTTTGTTGTGTAGGTCTCAGTATTGTACTGTTGGTTAAATATTTATGAAATATCAACCATATGTGAAATAAAGTTCAATAACTGCTTCCAGCACAGCATAAGGACATAGTCTAGGGTGTTTGCTAGGTATGTAAATAGAATAAGTGTACCACACAGAGCAGTAGAGATGCTTTGGTACAAAGTACTATTAGCACAGGACAAGGCATGAATCTAAAGGAAGCTTCTAAGAGTAGCAGATGACTAACATTTCAAAGATGCAAGTTTGAAAGCAGATGAAAGGGAAAGGTAGTCTGGATATAAGGTACATAATTTTGTTTTTAGATAAATATTATTTGATTTTGGTAAAAATGGAAGAAATTTGAATATAGGTTGAATATTAGATGAGGTAAAAAGTCATTGACATGGAAAGATAGTGTTAATGGACAATGTACATATACTGCATTTGTGATGATAAAAGTTTATTTTTATCTTTAAAAAGAAGAATAAAGCATTAGATTAGAGATAGCCTGCAGGGAGGTTACATAGAGAAGAGAATGAATTTGAAATAAGCCTTGGGAGAGAGGGGGAAATTTCCCTATCAAAAAAAGTTAATATTGCTAACTCTAGTACTGTGGTACAGTTGAACACTCAATGCAACTTTGCATAGGACTTTATGGCCTAATGTGGGGGTAACAATTATAGCATATACCTGCACCCTTCCTAACTAGATATACTTGGGAAACATTAGTGAATCTAAGAATGTATCTGGCCCTGGGGAGATAACAGTCTAGTGGGATCTGGAGATAACAGTCTAGTGGGATCTAGACAGTAAAACTTTTATAATTATTGTGTGCCTAACATGTTCCAGGCATCATCCTAGGCACTTAAACATAAAAATTTGTGTCCTCATAGAGCTGACTTTCTAGTGAGACAAAAATTTATATCGTAGGTTACAAGGTGCTTAGGTGCTATGCAAATAGGAAATAAAGTAAAGGGAGAGGGTGTGGATGTCAGTAGGTAGCAGTGGCTAAGGGTTTTGAGAAAGTGAATAACATGATCAGACTATGAATCATTTGGGTTGTTGGTTGATAATCTCGAGGGAAGAAGCAAGGCCTTTTTCCTAATAAGGTAAAGTTAGTGATAACTTGGACCAGGGTGGTAGCAGTGAGGGATGGTAGGTAAGAGTCAAATTCTGAATTTAGTTTGAAGTTGGAACCAGCATGATCCTGGTGGATTAGAGCTGGACTGTGAAAGTGAGGTATGGAAAGGCCTCTGAGGTCAAAATTGTTGGGAAAATAGTTGTCTTCTGCAATGGGCAAGGGTGGACAGAGCAGTTTGAGGGAAAAACTAGATCAGTTCTGGACATATTTGAGAATCCTTTTGGACATCCAAGTGAAAATGCTAAATAGGCAATTAAATATGAGTCTGAAATTTGGAAGAGGTCTAGGCTGCAGATAAAAAATGGGGAATCATCCAGAAAAAAAATCAAGATTAAAAAGAAGCTGCCAGTGAGGTCAGAGGAAAACGAGGAGACTGTAGAGTTCTGGAAGCCAAATTAGGAAAATCTCAGAGGAATAAAATCTGTGTGAAATAACTGCTAATGGCTAAGGTAAAATGAGAACTGAGAATGGACTTGAATTACACAAAGTGGAAGTTACTGGTGTTTTAGATGGGAACAGCACCTGTGAAAGTATTTTTAAAACAGAGTAGTAGAATAACTAGATGTAGTGAATAAAGAAAACTGAGTTTTATCCATTTAATAGTGGATTGGTTCTCTTTTATTTGTATGAATTCTTTTTATGCATTGGGTATTGCTATGGTTTAGAACTAGAACATTTGCTCCAAAGTCTCATGTGTTTAGAGGTGGGACTTCTGGGAGATGAGTGGCTCATGGGGTGATATACTTATCAGTGGATTAATCTGGTGAGTTTCTATAGCTAAATGAACTGTTAGGAGATGGGGGTCTGCTTGGAAGAGGCAGGTCACTACTGCGTGATCTGGAAAGGTGGATCTCCCTCTCCAACTCATCTCTTCTTTGCTTTCTAGCTGCCAATGTGTGAGCAGCTTTCCTCTGTCAGGCCCTAACATTTTGCCCTTCTTGTTTTGGATCCTGCTGACTGTGGACCGAATCTCTGAAAACCAAGTTCCAAGATAAAACTTTTACTTCTTTAAGTTGTGGGTGTTGGGTATTTTGTCCTAATGATGAGAATGTGGTTAAGAGTTGCTAATCCTTTAAGGTTAAGTATTAGTCTGTTTTCCAATTGCTGAGGCACAATATCTGATTCCCACAATTTAAAAGGAGAAGTGTAATTTGGCTCTTGGTTTTGGGGAATTCAGTGCATGGTTGGCCAGTTCTAAGGCAGAGGCATCGTGGCAGAAGGGCCATCTGGAGCATGAGTGCTTTAGCTCATGACATCTCAGAGACAGAGCAGAGAAGCAGTGCCATAGAGAAAGGACAAGACAGACAGAACCTGAGATCACGCCTTCGTGTGATCCCTTAGATGGATTCCAAGCCAATTAAGTTGACATAATCAAGCTTAAATAGGTTGTATGTATGAGAAAGTGTTTTTCCTTTTGTAAAATGTCCTTTCTTATTGCTTGTGGTTTTTTTGACTAGCATTTCTTTTTTTTTTTTTTTTAATCGGTACTGGGGATCAAACTCATGACTACCTGCTTGCAAGGCAGGCGCTTATGCCACTGAGCTAAATCCCTACCCCCCTGACTAGCAGTTCTTAATTTAAATATTTCCAGAAAAATTCTCCTTTATAGTTAGTACAAAAAGTATCTTGTTTACAATTCTTTCTTATATTTCACATTCAAAAAAGCAAACACTTATTTTCTTCTAAAAGTTTTTTTGCTTTTCATATGTAAGGTCTTAGTTCCTTAAAACTTCTTTTTATCTATAAGTAAATATTTGATTCAGGACCATTTTTTTTTATCTTTTTGCTGTATTAGAGTTTGAACTTAGTGATATCTACCACTGAGTAACATCTCCAGCCCTTTTTAAATTTTGAGACAGAGTCTTGCTATCTGCCCAGGATGGGCTTGAAATTGTGATCCTCCTGTCTCAGACTCTAGAATAACTGGTGTTACAGACATGCACCACCATGCCCAGGAACCATTTGATGTTAATGTAGTCTGATTCGGTAATGCTCAGTGCTTTTTTCTAGCCTGTTTAGGAAATCTTTGTCTATCCCAAGTTTATGAAGTCCTTATGTTTTGTTCTAAAAGCTGTGATTTTTAGGCTTGTTTCTTTGCTGTTTTGAAGAGGCAGAGAATATCTAGTTGTGTCCCTTTTTTAGGATGTTCAATGCACACATCCATTAATTTTGAGTTGAAAATGATGATATTCAAATTCATTTTTTTCATTTATTAAAAAGCTGGCCTATTTTTATAAAGAGAAATGTCACTTCATGTACTGTTTAGTAAATTTGACTTGTAGGAAATCAGTTCACTGCTCAGTGTGTTACCCTGGCAGGAGTCTTATCCTTGTGTCCCCCTCATCCCCGCAGCTCTGTGTTCTCTTCCAACAGAGGAATTTTGAATTTCCTCTGGACCTTGGAATGGTTTGAGGTGCGAATGCTGGCTTATTGCCAGCTATTCATCTTAACAAAGCAATTTTGGTCTTGTTTTATGTTTCAGTGTGTTAGATACATGCAATTTAAGGGTTTTTATGTATTCTTGGATTTAACTATATGTAATAAGGCTTATTGTCTTAAATTTTGTTTTGTTGGATACTTATAATATGCTTGGTTGTTCTTTGGTTAATTTGCCTTGGTGTGTTTCTTTTACAGTTTCTACTTCCAAACTGTTTATTACTTACGTTTAAGGATGTTCTGTGTGAACAACATGTGGTTGTTTTTAAGTTCATCCTTTTTAGATAAACTAATTTTTGGAACTTTAAAAATCACCCACTTTTGTTGTTATTTCAATATAATTTGTCTATGAGTGAATATCTTCATGCTTTTCTTAATTAATATATGTCAACTTCCTATAACTATGGATGCCTGTCTAGTTTACCTTTTCCCATAGAAGATTTTGTTTTTGCCAGGAGCTACTGAGGGGATACCAGCCTTAGACCATTTGAACCTAGTTTTAGGTTCTTGTATTTCATCTCAGAATACCCACTGAGATGCAAGGACGAGGCCCAATTGGAATGGGCACCTTCCCTCCTAACATTACCTTTTGCCAGTCCTTAGTGTTCAGCCCAAAACCTTTTATGTTTTTTTCCCTTTTTATTTTTCTGAAATTTTCCTCACCCACATGATTTGGCTATGCAGCAGTCATATTTTTGTGCATGATTTAATTGCTTTGCAGCAGATGGCTGTATGTAGTTTGAACCCTAATCTTTTCTTTATTTAAGTTGTAAATCTTTTCTTGTAGCCTATCTTTTAACTTTACTTTCAAATTGTATAAAAGTTTCTTAGTATTTCATAATCTCCATGTGGGCATCTTTTACCATTAACCTAATCATCAAAATTTTTTTCTAGTTTTTGTAACTGACCCATAATAATTGTACATATCTATGGAGTATAATGAGATATTTCATTACATGTATTCAATTTATAATGATCAAATAAATATTTTAGCATTTCCATCTCATTGTTTTGTTTGGAGGCTTTGAGCTCCTCTATTCTAGTTCTTCATAAAATATAAAATATTCTAAACTATAGTCACTCTACTGTGTTATGAACCCCTAGAACTTATTACCTTTGTATAACTGTTTTGGTACCAAATATTCAACCTTCTTCTGTCTTCCCCTTTCCCTTCCCTTCCTTTCACTATTCTACTGTCTTCTATTTTGAGATCAACTGTTTTAGTTGCCATGTGTGATTTTTGTCTAAATCTGGCTTATGTCACTTAACATACTGTCCTCCAGATTCATCAGTGCTGTCATAAATGATAAGATTTAATTTTTTTATGGCTGAATAATACTCTGTTGCATGTCTTTTTTGTGTGTGTTATAGGGACTCAACCCAGGATCTTCACAATGAGCTACATTTCTGGCCCTTTTAAGTTTTTAATTTTGAGACAGTTTTGCTAAGTTACCCAGGTGGGACTTGACCTTGTGATCCTTCTGCTTCAGCCTCCCTCAGTGCTGGGATTACAGCCATGTTCTGAACCTTTACTCTAGTATATGAAATGGCCATAGTGCAGAGGTTTGTTTCTGGTTGTTTTCTGTCCCATTCCATTTGTGTATGGTTTTTGTGCCAGTACTGTTGTTTCTGTTACTAAGGCTTTGTAGTATAAATTGAAATTGGGTTTTGTGATACATTCAGTGTTACTTTTTTGATCTGGATTACTTTGGCTGTTTGGGATCTTTTGTGCTTGCATATGAATTTTAAGATTTTTTTTCTGGTTCTGTGCAGAATTTCATTAATATTTTGATGGGGATTTTATTGGCTCTTTAGATACTGTTGTTTTATACATATTTGTATCTTAATGTCTAAAATATTGTAAATACTTCAGAAAGTAAAATGTCAGAGTTTACATATGAAATAAGATATTTTTAAATTTGTGAATAGTCCTAATGAGAACATATCACTGGAAAATGCAAAACTATTAAGTGTATGTGCTGGTATTTTTGCCTGCAAAATACTACTGCCCGTTTTCCTTATTCACAGATTGAAAAGTCAGATTCCTGAAATCAAGCAGACTTTGGAAATTCTAAAATACATGCAGAAGAAAAAAGTAAGTGCATTTTTGTTTGTAAATTTGACCAGACCAGGGTACTTTGGCAGACTTGTCTTCTTCGACTCATTGGTTGTTGGTATCTAATCTATGTTATATGACCCAGGGTGACTTCTTGAGCATGTACGCTAATGTTTCAAAATGCTTCTGTAAAAACAGGCTTTCCCTAAAAATTATGTTCAATTCTAAGGCCCACTTGGATTGCTTTATTTATGTGTAGTGTTTGTAAAGTTTAATTCAATTAGAGATTGCATTTTGGTACAAAAAGAAAATATTTATTTTGAAATAACAAGCACGTAGGGATTTTTGTTGGTTACTGTCATCCTCCCTAAGAATTAGAAGTGAGTGTAAAATTTATAGAGCTGGAAAAATCTTAGGGACAGTCTATTTCAGGTTCTCATTTTGTAGTTGAGTAAAATAATTACAGAGAGGTTAGTTAACACTTGACCAATATCACATAGCTAGTTAAATTTCATAAGTGTATTGTATTCAAAAGATTGTGTGCACACATGATTTATTACTTGAATGATAAAATACCTACCTCTATTTTTAGTATATAATAGTATGGTGAACTTTATAAGAGGATTTCAGAAACTGATTGTTTGAGAACGAATTATCAGTAAAGTAATGGTAATAGCTAATTCTTACATAGCACTTATATAATTTGCATATAGTACTTTGTGAGCGAGGTTGTGTGTGTGTGTGTGTGTGTGTGTGTGTGTTTGTGTGTGTGTGTGTGTGTGTGTTAGTGAACTCAGTACTTACCAGTGTCTTGGTAGATGCGCACAGACTTTTATTTTGAGACAGGGTCTCACTGTACACAGGGTGGCCAGGAACTAACTATAACTGAAGCAGGCTTCAAACTCACGGTGATCCTCCCACCTCAGCCTCCCAAGTGCTGGAATTACAGGCATGGGCCACCATGCCCACCTCTGTTACTTTATAGATTATTTTATAGATGAGGAACCTGAGATATGGAGAGATTAAATGAGCAAATTTATATTCCCAGCTGTCTGGTGGTACTGTTCATTTCTTTTCTAGCTATACTTAGTCTGTATGATGGTAGTATTTTAAATATCTTAGGTTCAGCTGTAGAATCTGAGTTTTATAATCTTAACATCAAACTGGCCTATTTCTGGTACTGTCATTTTTTTTAAAGGAGTCTACCACTTCACTGGAAACCAGATTCTTACTGGCAGATAACCTGTACTGCAAAGCTTCAGTTCCTCCTACTGATAAAGTGTGTTTGTGGTTGGGGGTAAGTAAATTATATTTGACATTTCATGATATGTCTGTAAACCAGTGTATTTTGCCCAGGAAAAAAGGACTGCTTGAGCTGTGGAAAGTATTGATCTCCTTTTCATTGTAGAAGGAATGAAAGGGCAGAATTACAGTGGTCTCTATGAGAAGCTGACTAGAATTAGGAATGTGGTAATGATAGTAGCAAAAGCATGGTGAAGTCTCTCCTAATCAAGACAAAACTGACCAAATCCTACTTTTCCAATTGTTTTATCTCTGTTAAATATAATAGAAGGAAGAGCGATAGAAGTAAAATAGAAAGTACTGCTGAACTTCCATTGTTTCTTCTATGACAGAGTTTAATAGTTCTAGAAAGAGGCCCCTGAGTTTAAGGGGCCACCACATCCCACTCAGGAAAGGGATGTGTGTGTGTGTGTGTGTGTGTGTGTGTGTGTGTGTGTGTGTAGATTCACACCTATTTTTTTCTGTTAACATTTTTGGGAATAATAAATATACATGTATTTGATCTTCTTTGTTTTCAATATCTATGGTCTTACCTATTTTTAGATATTAGGTCTTTTCCACTTTCTTGTGACCTTCTATTTTCTCTTAAGAGCTATTTGGTTTTATTTTGTCTACTGTCTTTCATAACTGTTTTTCTCTTCTTCATTTTCCTTGCTTAATTCTATTTCTTTTCATCTTTTTGTTTTGTTTTATACTTCTTAGTTGAATGTTTGAATCCAGATTTCCCTTGTAGACCAGCATTTGCCCCAATCTTACCTTTGATGAGAAGATTTTGTCCTGGTACTTGTTAATAGCTGGTACTCAGTGAACAAAGTAGAACTTGGTGTTGACAGCTTCATGACTTGCTACTGTGTTCTAGCTAAAACAATTTGTTTTGGTACTCATTGTGCCTTTCAGAACCAATTAACTGCAAGTACTAAGGTACAAGTGTACAATAAACTAGATGGCTTTTTTCCCTACTCTTATTTGTTTATTTCATTAGTACATGTTCACAGTATATAATGATTACATTTATCATGGGGAGTTTGTACATTTACATAACACATTTTAATTCTTGCTTAGATGGCTTTTTTTGAGTTTTTAAAATCCTTATTTATTTTTATTGCTAATATGTACATCACAAGAAACAAAAACACAAAAAATAAGGTACAAAGTTATGCAGAGTCATTAGCAGCTTAGCTGAATGTTCTTCTAATTTCCATATGTACATATATGACGTGCCATTTTGTGTGACTGAGTTTATACAGTGTATGTCATGCTTTTCCACACATCATGAATATTCACCAATTCAAAATCCCAAAGCTACAAAAGTAATTTTTGATAACTAAGAACACAATATGTCAGCTCAATCTGTAGAAAAATTATAATATTGTCTTTCTTGGGAAAAAAATTTTACTGAAGATAAAAATGACAACAGGTCTCTAGATAATTTGGCAAAGTTACAGTTGTAGTGCTGAAATTAGATGGCTTAAACAACAGAAATTGATTGTCTTAGGGTTTCAGAGGCCACAAGTACGAGATCAACCCTGGGATCAATGTTAGCTTCTGAGGGTTGTGAGAGAAAATCTGTTCCAGTTCTTTCACTTAGCGTCTGGTGTTTGCTAACAGTCAGTCTTTGGCATTTTTTGATGTATAGATGTTTCACTGATCTCTGCTTTCATCTTTATGTAGGTGACGTGTCAAAATTTCCCTTTTTATAAAGGCATCAGCTACACTGGTTTATAGCCTGCCCTTATGAACTCATTTTAACTTGGTTACCTTTGTAATGACTATTTCAAAATAAGCTCACATTCTGAGGCATGCAGGGTAAGAATTCAAGTGCATTTTTGGTGAGACACAGTTCATTCTGTAATGTTCAACATAAGCTTGCACTCACATGTACCCAGAGTTAGGGCTTTAGTGTATCTTTTGGAGGACATAGTTCAGCTCATCATATATAACATCCTAATTCATTTTCTTGCTTCTGCCTTTGTTTTCCTAAAGCCTTTCCAGCACAGCAGGCAGAGTGATACATTAAAATCTGTCCACTAGTCCATCCAAAATTTTACATAGATTTCTCATTTCATTCCAAGGTAAAGCCTGAGTTGTCTGACAAGCTTATACACAGCCTGGTACTCTTCGATACTTACCTTAACTAATTCCTTCTTCGTTGACCACTCAAGAAAGATTTTTTATTGGGCCTAGACCATGATGAGAATGGCCCTGCTTCAGAGCCTTTATTTTGGCTCTTTCTTTTGCTTGAACTGCTAGAATAATATTTCTAAAACATGTCAGCTCATGTTATTCTCTGCCTAGGACACCAGTGGTTTCTCCTGTCATAGTTAACCTCCTTCCTTATTGGTACCACCTGACTTTTCACTTAGAATCACATGTTTTTTCTTGTGAGTAGACATGGAACCAACTTAGTTTTGTTGGCTTCTTAATCTTCTGTGATAGGGCTATGATATAATATTCTGAAGTTGAGTGGTATTGAGATTATTCTCACGTTTCTTACATAGTGAACAGTGCTGTACCAAGTATATTTGCACATATCAATTCATAAAGACATTTTTGTATTCTTTGAGATGAAATTGTTGGGTCTAAGAATGTGTATACCGCATTTAATATTTTAATAGGTATATCAAATTTTTCTACAAAATAAATGTACCAATTTACATTTCTCCAACAGTATATAATAACATTTTTTTGCCAGGGATATGGCTCAGGGGCGCAGTGCCTGCCTGGCAAGCATGAGATTGTGAGTGTGATCCCTGGTACAAAAAAAAAAAAAAACAAAAAACCTTTCTTTCATTAGCTGGATGTGGTGATGCATGCCTGTAATCCTGGCAGGAAGATTAGTGTGTGAGTTCCAGGTCAGCCTAGACTACATAATTCAAGGCCTTCCTGAAGTAAATAACAAGATCCTATCTCAAAAAAAAATGAAAAAAGATAGAAAAGAAGTATTTATCCTTTTAGTGACAACCCCACCCACATGTTATGAGTGTTGCTAGTTTTGTAGATATAAATAGTATTTTACTGTTTTTGTTTGACAGGGTATTCATTTGTATTTTTCTTCTGTTTGTCTGCCTAATGTCCGTGGTTCATTTTTGTGTTGAATTTTTTTTTGTCCTTAATCTTCTTTTATGTATTGCATATTTGGATGCAGTGTCTTGTTACTTGTTGCATATATTTTCCTTTCTGATCTGTCACTTGTCTTTTATGATAATTTTTTTTTTTTTTTGCAACCAAGGGTTGAACTCATGACTTTGCACTTGCCAGGCAAGCACTTGTGCTCCTGAGCTAAATTCCTGGTCTCTGTTTATGGTACTTACAAAAAAGTTTTAAATTTTAATGTGATCAGTTTATTAGGTAGTTATAATTTTATTTTAACAGTGCACTTCTGTCACCAAATTTGTTAGCATTTTCTCATTTCTGATATTTTAAAACTTACTGGTTAAAATTTTAAACTCATTCTTGTAAGAACAAATTATAGAACTTATTAAGGATAACATGAAAAGACAAGCTACTTGATAGAATAATGAGGTGAGTGACTCCTAAAAGAGGAGATGCCCAATAACTGTATGAAAAGTTACTCAGCTTTGTTAGGAGAGTTACAAATTAAAAGCACGGTGCACTTGCACCTTGCATCCATCGGAATAGTGGGGCAATACAGATTGAGCACCCCTGATCCAAAATCCAAAATTCCTGTTCTTTTTTTTCCCCCTGGTACTAGGGATTGAATCCAGGGCATTGTACCTGATAAGCAAGTACTCTACCACTAAACTATATCTTCAGCTGTTTTTGGTTTTTTGATAGCAGGAATCTAACCAGGACCTCACGCTTTGCCAGGTAGGCACTGTGCTGCTAAGCTATAACCCTGACCTAGCTTTTTTTTTTTTTTTTGAGACATGCTCTTGCTGTTTGGTGAAGGCTTGCTTTGAACACAGTGTGTAACTCTGCAGCTGGCCTCAAGTTTGTGGTCTTTCTACCTCAGAATCCCAAGAGTGCTAGGATTATAGGCATGTAATGATGCCTGATTCAGAAATCTGAAATTGTGAATGTCTATAAATCCACAACTCTTTTAGCATCATGTTAGCGCTCAAGATGTTTTAAAGTTTGGGGAACAAAATTGAGGAAGTTAAAATAACACCCTTTTATCATCTCTTTTACCAGATCTTTATGTCAGAAGTCCAAATGGACCTAGTTGGGTCTTCTGTTCAGTTTCACAAGACCAGAATTAAAGTGCCAGCAAAGTGGTGCTTTTTATTATCAGCCTAGAGGAAAACTTAATTCCAGCCTTGTTCATGTCTGCAGATTGCAATTCTGTATGGTGACATGATTGAGGTACTATTTCCTTGCTGGTTTGTAGAGATTTTTTTGTGTCCCTTGGCTTGTGAACCTTTCTGTCTTCAAGGCCAACTGTTGTGTAACTAATTCTTCTTCATATCTTTCCAATTTCTCTTTCTACCAACAACCAAAACAAGTTCTCTACTCTGAAAGTTAGACCTTGCAATTGGATTAGGCCTACCCAGATAATCTCTGTATATTAGGGTCATCTCTGACAAATGTTTTATCTCAGTGGTGGTGACCCTATGGCACGGGTTTTTCTTTTTTAAGACAGAAGATACTAATATATGAGTCATTTTTTCTAAACTAAAACCTCAGTATTCAGGTTTAAATGCAGTGTTGTCACTTTGCAATAAATCAGTAGATTTTAAGTTGCAGTTTGGGCACTCATCTTGAAAGGGTTCACTGTATCTTATCAAATAAAGTCACAGGTTCCGGTGATTAGAGTGAGACAACATGGGCACAGAGTCATAATGCTGCCACTAGAGAAGTCAGTCACAAAAGAACTTGTAGTATGTGATTCCATTTATGTAAAATTCAAATACATGCAAATCTTTACTGTTAGCATTCAAGGTAATGGTTATCTTTGGAGTAAGGATGCTGTGGTAAGGGAAAGGTGCATGAGTTGGCTTCTTTGGTGTTACTGGTGATGTGTTCTTTGATGTCAGT